GAGCAGAATGATATGCTACAATATCATATGTGCACATGGTCCAAATTTCATAGCTGTACATCAAAAAACAAGAGAGAAGGTCACTTGTAAAAATATCGGTAAGCTGATTGTAACATTCAGTTTAACATCTCAAACTGTGCACATGGTCAAAATTTCATAGCTGTACATCAAAGGACAAGAAAGTAGGTCCTCTTAGACAGGCCAAAATTTGACCCAAGGGGTTTATTCAAACAATCTTGATTAAGGTCCACCAGACAATGTTCCATGACAAATACATAAGCTCTAGCTTTCTCCTATTCAGAAAATATTCTTTTGGTTTCTGTTTTCACTATATGTACAAAATGAAAATCAATGAACCCGGGGCTGGGTCAATTTGACCATAGGGCTATAATTTCAACAATTTTGGTAGATGTCTACTCAGCGATGTTGCGTGCATATTATATATTCTCTAGCTTATGTCAATTCAGAGAAGTTTTTAAGTTTTTGACTATAAACATATATGGAAAACCTATGACCCTCGGAGCAGGTCCAATTTTGATACTAGGGCTATAAATTGAATAATCTTAGTAGAAATCTAACAGACAATGTCTTATGCAAAATATGTATGCTCTAGGCTTTGTGGGTCTTTACAAAATATTTGTTAAATTTATTGTTATAATTAATTTTGGTTGCCATGGCCATCTTTGAACAACCTTGGGAGATATTTACCTAAAGAACAACCCTGCCAAATTGGGTTGAAATTGGACAAGTTGTTTTTCACAAGATTTTTTTTAAGTTCACTATATCAATTATATAATAAGCATACACACACACAAACACAGACACATAGGTGAATCGTTTTGTGTCACCCCATTGCAAATGATAAGCCTTTGCCACTATTTAAGAGCCGGATAATCCTTCATATGTGTGCAGTTTGGTCAACATCTGCACCATTGTTAGCTTTAACATTCTGGATTAGGATTAAATTAATAAATTCAAGTATGAAATTTATATTTTAAGGTAAGAATTTAGGAGTAAGTTCTGATTTTATCAAAATACGTGTATAAAGAAAGTTTTATTGTCCACACATTTTTTTGGTTTATACAAGAAATCAACAAAAATTAAAATGTCACATAACACCTTTGTTTTGTAATCAAACAGGATGTCACCAAGAACGTTGCCACAAAAATTGTGGAAGCTAGTAAATTATAATATAAGAATATTGTTGCAGTGAGAATATATCATTAGCAACAAAAATGTCACCAATTAGGTCAAGTGAAATGCCCTTGGTTACTTTTGCATTTACTATATTGATGATAACTTCACAATCTCTACGGACCAGTATAGAGACATTTTCCAATTAAATCTAACGAAAAGTAGAAACGGCACGCAGTTTGTGACGGATGTCAGCATTGTTAATTATCAAGATCATTTTCTCTGAGTGACCACTCTAGAAACGAAAGAATTTTGTCGTAGGTCATTGCTACTTCGCCATAATCAATTTCAATGAAAAATGAAAGATTGCTTACCCATGAGATTTATGGAAGGATGGTAATTGAATATCGTTTTTGTCATACTGCTTTCTTCTTTAAAATGATAGATGACAAGTTCATAAGAGATATAGAGGGGCAGTTAATGAATACTCTTTATTGGCTATAATAAAGGTGCTATTACCTTCTATAACCGACAGGTTAGCTCAGTAGGTAGACCGTTGGCCTGTGAATCGGACGACTCATGAATTCCGTTCTGTGGTCATTCGTTCTGTACCTTTGCTCTAGTAGGTACAGCAGTTATCAGTTCCTTGCTAAAGAGAAAGCAACAAGTACTGGTTAAATGCTTGACGGTTTATCTATCCAGTAACGATGAGGTGGCTGAACTTTATTCTGGTTAGTTCAATGTGACTTTCTACCAGGATCCTGAGGGTAATCTACCAGCACCAACTCCTTCTTTATGACTGTCTTGGTCAGATATTCGAATTGTTACGCAATCAACGATTCTCTGAACACGCAGTAAGAGTCAATGGGAAATATATATTAAATATTATATTTAAATATTTCAAAATTAGAAAAAAATGACGTTGAATAATCCATTATATCAAGTTTTTCAATGATATTCAATTAATATTATTATTATATTTTTCTTTTAAACTATTGACGGACACTTAGTAATAAATTATATTGTATATTGTATATTGATAATCCTTCATATCAGCAGTGCTGGGTAAGATTTTCTTTCTATAACGGAACTTCATATCGCTCATTAATTAATACATAAAAACATAGAACAATTCTTTGATCATCTTTCTTTTTTCTGTAATTGACCTGTCATCAAATATTTTCATTAGAAACAGATCATGCCGAAATAGCAACGACCTTTATCAAAGTGCATTTTCAAGAGTGATCATTGATTTTTTAAGAAAGTGCTATTGTATGCTGTGTCCATTTAAGCATTAACTAAGTTACTTTGTCATACTTATTTTAGCTCTTTTGAGTGTGAATGATGGAAAACATTGAATAAGGTCTTGAAAATGTAATAACAGACATGGTTCATATTTTTGGTTAGTTTTTTACAACAATGATGTTTTTATCTAAAATCACTGACATTTGTGTGACACCTGTTTTTCGTCCAAGATAAACATTTTCAAACATTAGATATAAGCAAGATAGTTGATAAAATAGTTTAAAAAGCTTTTTTTTCAAATTTGCCAGAAGTAAATCAGTAAATACTATTGTTATCAATGGGGTGAACTGATTAAATTCAAAATGGAATTATAGATTTCGCATATTGCAACATTATCTTATAAAAAAAACTTTTTAACATTATATAAAAAAGTAAAATACAATTATGTATAAGATATTTAGTAAAATCAAATAAACTCATGAACTCTAAAAATAAATGATTTTTGTCATTTCTTGATACAAAAACTGTTTAATAGATATAGAATAAAGGAGACAGCATTTCAACATATTCATCATGTTCAAATGTTGAATTCTGCATTAGCCATTGCAAGTGGGCGCGAAAGGTATCTTGCACTGTCCAGTACCGCTTAACGTCTCAATTGAACCGAGTCCGCCTTATTTTCAATTTGACCGTTTTTTGGTCTCTTCGGAGATCCTGTTGTTTTGTTGTTGTTGTTGTTGTTGTTGTTGTTTTTCAATAATTTTATTTTGTTTTACTTACATACATATTTTATCAACTAGGAATTAGATATTACGGTTAAGATGAGGAAGAAATATTGCAACCTTAAGCAGTACAATGTGATGCGAATGGCTTAGTGCAAACAAAATCCCAAAGATTTTAACAGTTTTTTTTATTTTATGCCATGCTCCGGAGAGGAAACTGTGTAAATGGCAGACATGTTCTAAATTTGTGGCATTTTTCTTAAAAGGGATATTTTTATTTCATATCGTCGACATTTGTGTGACACTGTTTTTCGTCCGCTGGCTAGATATACATTTCCAAACATTAGATATAAGGAAGATAACCGGTATATAATAGTTTATGTTTTTATTTAAGATTTGCTAAAAGTCTATCAGTAATTACTATTGTTACCAATGGGGTGAATGATTAAATTTAAAGGGGAATTATAGATTTTGCATATTGCAACATTTTGTTATAGAAAAGTTTTTTTACGATTATATAAAAACTAAAATACAATTATGTATAAAATATTTAGTAAAACACAAGAAAACCCATGAAACAGAATCATCACCAAAGATATATCAGACTCTTTTGATTCTTTAAAGTCCTTGTAAAAGCTAATTATCATTGAAGGTATATTCTACAGCATAGTCGGAGATCCCTCAATGACAATAGAATTGCAAAGAAATATTTTGATTGAATTGAGAACAACCAAAACATCTAAAAATGAATGATTTTTGTCCTTTCTTAATAGAAAAATCTGGAAACAAACTGATTCCTCGGAAGCGTTTACCATATCAAAATTACTTAGAGATTGCAGACTCGGTATGATTGAGTATATGAGGGACAATGGATAAGTGCAACATTCCCATCGCCCCCTAGCACCGGCTTGAGCTGTACACAATTTTCAACACTTAATAGTGCTGGCATCAATGATCCAGAAAAACTATTTTATAGAATATAGGAGACGGGGAAATCTGTAGAACATGTTAAAATGTTTAATTTTGCTTTATTCGGTGCTGGGGGCTTGGATGGTAGATTATTGCATTTACCACATTCGTTCATCATCAAACTCAATCAAACCAAACCTGCAAGGGTTATGATTTGTGCTGTTTATGACGTTCTTCACAATTAAGGGTTCCATTTTTGACCTTTTTATATTATTTTGTATTGTCAAATCGAGATTGATATTGCCCTGCAAAACACAGGTCATGTTTCGTTAATGATAAAATAATAAATTTGAAACAAACTAGCTTTGTCGTGACCTGAGCTTGATTAAGCAAGGAAACGATGTTCTTTGCGCATCACGTGTGATCATAATTGAGAATAACAGAATCTCCTTGTGAAGAAAATCAGTTGATGGAAAAAGCCTATAATCAGAGCTTTTTTCGTTTGCTTCAAACAGGTCATTTGTTTTTCTGTACATTGATTTATTATCCTAGTTTTTAGAGCAAAAGTTACATAAATGAAAGAGAAACTTACATAGGAATGATTTAGAATTGGATCAGTTAACTAAACAGCACTACTATTTCAAACAGATCATATTCATTGAAAAAGTCTATTGGATGAAATAACGATTGTATTGGATGGATGTGTAATATTATATTGGATTTTCTCTTTTAATTAAGATACTGCTGTTTGTAAAGTTCAGAAGTGGCCGCTTAAAATGAAAAGGCAAATAAATAGATATAAGTACGTAAGTAAATTAATATTTGATTTTCCAAATAAAAGCATTAAAATGTAAGAGGAAAATCATGTTGTTGTTTAACGATGATGAACTTCAATGTGTGCTGTTTTGTTTATTTTCAAGAACGGACTATTGAAGACAACATGTTGTGCAAGGTTGGTTACTTCAATATTCTGTGAATTAGACTGATGCAATGGGTTGTTCCAGTTCAATACCAAAGCCAAAGACAGAATGTAAAGGATTTAAAGAGATTAAAGAAGAGTTACAAGAGAATTTCGGAGCACAAACTGGTCTAACAGAAGCAGAGAAGATCATTGTAAAATCTACATGGAAATATATGACAACAGATATAGCTGACAATGGACTTCAGATCTTTTTGCGAATATTTGATTTGTGTCCTGAAGCAAAAGAGCTTTTCAAAGTGGAAAATGTGCGGCACTCGGAACTTGCTAGGAATCCACTTTTGAAAGTACACGGCGCTCGTTTTATGAACGGTATAGCTGCTGCAATTGATAGTCTAAATGAAACCAACTGTTACCAAGATGAACTGGGAAACATTTTATTTGTTCTTGGACAGCGGCACAAAAACTCCTCAGGATTCAGACCGGAATATTTTGAAGTATTTTATAGAGCACTAATGTGGCGATGGGAATTTTGTATGGGAGAATATTTTACAGCAGAAGTTTCAAAAACTTGGAGTCACGTGTTTCTTTACATGATGGAAAAACTAAAAGAGGGTTATCTTTCTCCAGAAACTTGAAGGAATTGGTATCATAATCTTTATGAACATTTTATCATCAGGAAGAATTGGATAAAGTGTAAGACAAAAAATATTTATAATATCATATAAATGAATTATTTGTCAAAGATTTTAACATTTGATTAAAGAGTAAAACTCTCTTTCATAAGTGTTATGCAAGAATTTTTGAAGAAAAAATCTATGTCAGGTCTGTATGAGCCTAGTAAGGAGCAATATTTGATAACTGAAAACAATCAGGGTTTCAATGAGTATAAAAATGTGGAAGAGAGAAATAATCAGTGCTTTTTAAATTTCTTTGTCCAATATGGGTAGTGTGGTGAAATAAATGTAATAATGTTTAATAAAAATATGATATGTTAAACAAGAATGATCAGGGTTTTTTCTATTTATTTTTGCTCTGAAGAAAGAAGGTCTGGTTTTTTTTGTTGCTGTTGCTTTTTTTAACCAAGACATATACGGTAGAAAGTACATTTCAAGTTTATTTATTAAATGCTTTCAAATGGAGGACAGTTCGGATATTGTGTTCAAGTTTCGTGGATCTTTTCATTTTTTGTACCATTTTTAACGTTTGACGATATTTCCAATTTCACCATTAATTTAGGGAAACGGTGGTTAAAAACAAGTGTGCTTTTATGGATAAAATTCGGCATGTTATTTAATATATTATTCCTCAGTTGTCTACATATTATATATATGTTAATTAAATTTAAATATATTTCTTTACAATAAACAAAACAAATAAATAATAATCTTGAATAAAATATACAAAAGCCTTACTTTTTAAACTCAATATTCAAGCAAAATGTTTTGCTGCTTTATGCTTGAAGAAAGCTCTGACATTTGAACGTTTTTTATAATACAAGACTAAGTTTTGGTATAGCTTGTTTCATTTTTTCTTTTCTCTTTATATTATTTATTTTCATTTTACAAATAATTACAAATAAATATGCTTCATTGGAAAATGTTCATGCTGAATTCAAAACGATATCATAACTTGGCCTTTGTTGTCAAACCTAACGTAGCAAGGAGCTGTAATAACTAAATGATATATAAGATATCTGCAAACGGAGCTTCCATAATTTGACAGATAATTTTTGTCATTTTTAAACATTGGAAAAGAAATTGAATAATTTTTAATTATATCACTTATAAGATATACCTTTAAGGCCAGAAATGGTCAGTGAACATTATAATTATGCTTATTTCCTGTGGGAAAATCAAAATCGATTTGACCTTGATATTTTCACCCAATCATTTAGATGGAAAAATTCTTTTACTTGAATAATGCTTCTGGCTTAACAATTTTTATATTGTACACTTAGCATATTTTCTCTAGCAAATCTCTTTCTTTTGTTGCTACCTTTTCCTGTGAAAGTTGTTTTTGTTCAAAGCTTAATTCTCTTTGTTCGTAAAATGTAAATTTAGATGCCCATAATTATCTATCAAAGTGTAATATGTCTATAACGTTGAGACCTACTTTGACTTGAATTTGAGATACAGTTGGATTAAACGTGAATAAGTCTATAATTGAACGTCTGTTATACAATAAATAAATATGTTATAACAATACAAACATAAAACAAAATTCAGTCATATACTTACTTACCGGCAACAGCAAATGGCCATATTTTATCTACCGCTTCTGCGGCGAATACTTCACCACTGCTTCGATGGAACCACCGCTTCTGCGAAAGCTATGGCCAGTGTGTTTATAATTAAGTGTCAGACATAACAACAAACCATGAATGAATTATGTTGTTAGTACCTGTGTGATATATATTATCCATTACATAAATTAAAATACGTGTAGCAGATAAAATGATCTTGAACCAAATACTCTTATTCATCATTTAACTGTTCGACATAAACACTTTTTTAAGCAATATTTTATAAGTGTATCCAAATTATACATTTCCTTTGTTTTAATCAGTATTTGAAATACTTATTGGAAAGTGTGTCCAATGTCTTTTAAAATATCTAAAAATACCCAAAATTACTCTTTGAACGTAATGATCAGTGATAAAAATAACGTTTAGTCCTGTTATATACCATCAACATATTAAAGATGAAGACAATATTACCATAATGTATATAAAGACTGAAAAAACAATATGAGTTTCTTAATTTATATACATGTACTGTTAATGTATTGCTAATTAATCAACCTATGACCAAGATGTGATTTTTTTTCAAGTTACAAGTGTCGGTACATCGTGTGTTATAGACATACTATAACACGGAAATACGCGTTCAAAAACTAGAGCGTTTTTTGACCATTTTATCTTATATTTATTCGCACAGTTATGTTTTGAAATCCCCCAATTTATTCCGTATTACGTAGTCTGTTTACGAAGTCCGTTTCAGATAGAAAGGTCTTATGTAGACCAATCCAATTTAAATGATATTAAAACATACATTCACCAAACATTTTACATTATGTTATACCAAACACACAAACACAACTCAATAAATATTATAACATTTATTAAACATTAAAAAAAAACATGTGTCAACATTTTCCAGGCACTGGATTATAATCAATAGATACATTTACAAAATCTACAAAATAAAAATTGTCTATATAATTATGTCATTATAAATAATATTCTAAAATCTACTTTCTATAATTCTTTTTACAGTCTACATTATGCAGTAAATATATGCCTTTAAAATCATGTATATGTAAGTTACAGAGTCAAATAGAATAAACATTGTCATCATAATCTTTTGGTAAATAAAAGTTTCAATTTTTCTGTTAACATTACTGAAACATGCTAGTTATCTGAGATAAAATGTACTTGTTATCATTAATGAAACAACAGTTAAATGTACGAGTTACAATCAGTGAAACATGATACAAGTTACCATCGTTATCATCAGTGAAACGTACTAGTTACCATCGGTGAAACGTACTTATTACCATCAGTGAAACGTACCAGTTATCATCAGTGAAACGAACGAGTTACCATTATTGAAATGTACTAGTTACCATCGGTGAAACGTACTTATTACCATCAGTGAAACGTACCAGTTATCATCAGTGAAACGAACGAGTTACCATTATTGAAATGTACTAGTTACCATTTTTGAAATGTACTAGTTACCACAAGTAAAACGTACAAGTTACCATCAGTAAAACGTACTAGTTACCATTATTGAAATGTACTAGTTACCACAAGTGAAACATACTACTTTACTAAAATGTCATGCACTTGGTTACAACAGAGAAACATCATTTGAATATTTCACGAAAAGTTGCCACTTACAGCAACAAAACACTCATACATCAAATTAATTATCAAAAATTTTTAATTCTAAACAGGTGTCAAAAATGTTCAGTGTTAATAGTTTTTTTTTATTTCTTGTGAAATTTATCTTAGGTCTGAATGTAAAATATGCCATCATAGTTAGACTTGTGAGTTTTGAAATTTAATGGTGTCTGATAAAATTAGAAATTAAGTATGTATCAATACTGAATTTAAAGAATTCAAAATAAATCAATCTAGGACAAATGAACCATTTTTCTTAGTACATTTTATGACCTGAGAGCACTTTTATTGTCAATATTTTAATGTGCATGAGGCGAAACTATGGAATAAGATAGACACCAAATGTTCAATTCAAAATGCAATGTACAAATTGTTATAAGGAACAAAGATATTATGTAAAGGTTAAAAGTTTTACCTGAGTTTGACAAAGTCATTGCCAATATTTTTAAGTAATGCTGATTCAATATAAACAATTGAATGTGCGCAAAACACTTTTTAAATATATATAATATACCAAATGAAATTGCAAATTTGACATTAAAAGAATGATAACAAATTTCAATATGTAATTACATGATGATATGTATGATAATTTGCGATGATTTATGACACAATGTTAGACATATGAAATCATATCAATTCAAGTGCTACCAATGCTTGAACTACGGCAAATCAAAGCTAAACAAACTAAAATGCACCATTCAAATTATATGACAATTCATAATCAGAAATAAATCATACTAAGTTTATCAATCTATCATAGATTTTATTTGTTTGTGAGAATATTAGGCATAAATATGGGATAAAACTGAATGAAAACATGTATATTTAACACAAGTCTTTCGAAATTTTAGCGAAAATGATTGATTTAAAAGGGTTTCTTTTTATGGAAATTTGGACATTTCGGTAAAGGACATACGTAATATGCGAATTGTAGAGGAAAAATAGCAAAACCTTACTACAAATCTTCGTAAATCATCATAACACTATAAATGACAAATGTGTGTATATGATAAATAAAACAAGTAAACTAAATAAAAACAATAATAACGTATTATCTTTTTGTGTGCCATTCATCTAGAAGTCAATCTATTTTGATTGCATCAAGCTATGGCAAAAGTCCTTTCTTCAAAATATTCAATCACTGATACACATTGTTTAATCAGAGCTAAAAGCGATGATTGCGCATGCGTCACAAACATAGCGCCATTACTCTTTCTATTGTTTGTTTGATTTTATGGCGCATCAACACAATTAAGGTCATATATCGTCCGAAATTCTTCTTTTAATATTAGGATATAGTTACGTATGGGTAAGATACATGCGCTAAGCAGGTTCTGAAAAAAAAAGATAACATAATCAGTACAATAGTGAGTTACAAAGACAATAAAATGTTTTAAACGAAAATACGAAAAACGAAAATACTAGATAGAGATGCAAAAGTCGAGATAAAAGAAAGAGATGTATAATTTACTAGTATATAGATAAAGAAGGAATTTTTAATGAAATCGGGACTTTAAAGGTTCCATCGAGATAACGAAAAATCGAGAAAAGCGATGTCGAGATACCCCGGTAGTTGACTGTATTTACATATAAATGAAAACAATGTTTAATGATAAAAACCGGTTCGGCTTATAATTACAATGTACTTTTACAACACCCTCTTATTGCGTTTTTTCCCTTGTCTTTAATATAAATAGCCTCATTTAAATGGTGATTTTTATATTAAGATCGTTACATTACGAAACTGGTGGAAGAATACTGAACATTTGGCAAACATTTTAAAACAATGACAACGCCAAGTGTGTTAAACACATAGAATATTCAATAAAAATTCATATCATTCATTCCGATGTAACCAGTTTTGCTAAGTAAAATAGATCATCTTATATAAAAGGCAATATTGTTGTTATCATTTTGTTGTTCCGTTGAAAAAACAACAACATAACTATGATTAAAAAAAAAATACTACGTATATTCATTGGTAAATTTTTACTTTCTCTAAATAAACAATATAGAATCATGACAGAAAAACATATTAAATTCGAGTGTCGTATTCATTGATTGTTTAAATGCAAATACTTGTGAGAAAATAATGTACATGGTTGATCAAAGGCAATTTATAGAGCTTATACATGTACACCCTTTGGATATGGAGTCAGAATATTGATAAATTTACTCTCGGGATAATTATATCATTTATTTATACGGCACATTAAGTCTATATTCTCTATAAAAGCTCTTTAGTCTTATACTTGTGGGGTTATTAAAACAAAAATAACAGAGTCACAACGTTTATAATTAAAAATATCGTTATATCTACAAAATATAGAAAATTTAGATATGCATTTGCAAATATTTTTCGTGTGGTACAACTTTGGAAACAGGACTTGCTGTTGAGCGTTGATAAATTTACTTGTTAAAGAGACAGTCCTTACTTTCAAAATATTCAAATTTAAACAGCAATTACATTTCACATTGCACCTTGTATTACCCTTCGTATTACACATTGCAATACCTTTCATATTACACTTTGCAATACCTTTCATATTACACTTTGCAATACTTTGAAATACCCTTTCATAATAACATTAAAATGCCTTTTCATATTACGCATTGCAATACCTTTCATATTATACTTTGAATTACTTTTCACATTACAATGATTTCCTGCGTGCACCAATTACTCTTAAAGGAATATAGCACAATTTAATTTGCTCCTAAGGAGATAAACAAATAATATCTTTCATACACGCATTTTGAAAGCATAACTTAAAAAAAAATCAAACAAAGATTTTGTAAACTAGATGAAGTAGATATAAACTTTCAAGTACTGAAATACAAAGGTAATACGTTGTTGCCTTCCATTTACTAGTATCTAATCTTCGAACAGTTCTTTTAGACAAACAATCTTATATTGTGTATGGGCTACTCCATGTTATACTTACTTATACAATTATCTTGATTAGCCAGGGACGTCATGTTCAAACCATACACCGCAAACAATTGTGCTGTTTCGCTGATCATGGCGGCTTTGATTTGACTAGCTGTACATTTTAAACCAAGTTCTTCTATATACTCCGGACCACATTCATATATATACTCACTGATGACCCTGTAAGTGTAAATATAGAATAGTGTTAATATAGAATAGTGTAAATATAGAATAGCGTAAATATAGAACCATGCAAATATAGAATAGTGTAAATATAGAATAGTGTAAATATAGAATAGTGTAAATATAGAATAGTGTAAATCATAGAAAAGTGTTAATCTAGAATAGTGTTAATCTAGACAAGTGTAAATATAGAAAATTGTAAATACAAAATAGTGGAAATACAGACAATTGTAAATACAAAACAGTTGAAACATAGAATAGTGTAAATATAGAATAGTGTTTATATAATATCTTTTGCCCATGTGCCCTGTCCTGTTATGGTATCCTGCTGTGCTATTTGCCGGTGTTAGGGTGCATTCAGTGAATGTCTCCCTTCCTCGTTGATTTTTGTTTTTCAATTTTTTTTTGTGTTAAACTAGCCGTAAAATCAATACTAAATATTACATATTTAATTCAAAGCCATACCTTGACTTATTAAACAATGCAAATGGATAAGTAGTGCATAACTTCCCTTACACCTTTTAGGTAAGAATGTTCGTAATGAATATGCATGCTTACCCCTCAATCAACGGTTTATTGTTGGCGCTGTTTCAAGGAAGTAAAATCAATGAAAGTTTCATTATCATTATTTTACTGTAAAATGATGTTCCTTGAAATAAAATTTATGCTCAATGCTTACAGAGGAGATGTTGAGATATGAGGGTTCTCTTTAAGTATTAGCGTTAAATGTAAACAATCATCTTAAATAAGCAAGAGCTATAAGACTTAGTGATGAATCGATGATTAGGGTTTTATTTCAATATAAGTATTTGTGAAAAGTTGAGAAGTTTTGTTTGTTTCTTTTTTTTTTTTTTTTTTTTTTTTTGTTTCTTAAAAAGAGGTCTAGTTTTCTAGTTTTTTGTTTTGTTATGTTTTTATCCCCAATTTTGTTCTGTTTTTGCAATATTGCGCAGAAACGTCAATGGTTCTACTCAGGTGTGTGCCGGTTATAATGCATGGAGGGGCAACTGAGGTCTTCCTCACCCAGTAAAATCGAGAAAGTCACCATAAGTATGACCAAGAGTTGGTCCGACGTAAAGCCAAACAAAAATATATTACAAATAGGAATCAACCTTGAACTTAAACTTAAACAAGCAAGATTGAAGTTTGGACATGATGAGAACCGAGAAAATCTGATGTATTGTAGTAAATAGTTAATTCATAGCTGAAACTTTTCATTCAGTAGTAAAATTCAATGTCATTAATATCATTGTTGCCTTGTCTGTACCGGAATGGCACTTAATATATGTTCGACATTTGTAACTAAACATACGTGACAACAAGTTGGTCAGGCAAATAAACCCTGTAGAGAGTGCATTTAGTCTTATATCGGTTAATCACTTCGTTGACGTAAACACATTTGATTCCATGACGACTAGGTTTTGAAAACAAATGAAATAAATGCATTAATAGATATATAATTCTACGAATTAACGAGGCATCAGTAACATCATTTTTAAATTTCACATCAATAGTTTTTTTTCTGTTTTTTGTTCTTGTTCGCAAGTAACTTGAAACATAAGATGAAGGAATGATTACAACGTCACTGTTATTTTGTCAAATAAGTGCCGGAAAACCTAGTTTACATGACATCTTTGTATTCAAACTAGATATAAAAATTAAACAAATCTTCAGAACATTTGGAACTACCATTTTACTTTGGGTATTTTTCAAACTTTGCAGCAAATAAGATTGTCTGCGGTTAGTTTATATTTATTGAGTCAACTGTAAATACGTATTAAAACCAAAACATTGGTTTTCAAAAAAGAATCATAGACTTTAACTTTTAGAAAGCGCACGATTCATATTTGTTATTCTTGAAACCGTTTTTTTTTTATTGATGGAGATGCTCAAAGAAAACAAGATACATTTTTAGCATGCGGGCTAGGACTCTCTTTAAGATTGTAGAAAATGCCAGATAAAGTTGTAAATATTCTTCTCATAATTCAAACAGATTATTCATAAATACAACGTCATGGCATTTATACCATACTGAATATGCCTGTACCGGAATGGCATTCATTCTGAATTAGACATTTGAGTCATGTCACGACAAAACCATCTTAATGGGTTTGCGACCAGCATCCGCGCAGTCTGATCAGGATCCATTCTGTTTGCTATCAGATGCTCTACTTGTAATAGGGTTTGTAAGCAACAGCATGGGTCCTGATCAGACAGGCTGGTCTTGATCCATGCTGGTCGCAAACTCATTATGTTGGTTTTGTCGTGACGCGGCTCATTTGTTACTTTTAAAAAAGACGTGATATAAAGTCGATCATGGAAATAAATCACGCTGTGAACTGATTTATCATAAGACAGTCACATTTCCGCCATTTTATATCGGTTAATTACTTAGTTGATATAAACACCGTATTTGCTTCCAAACATTGTTTTGGGAAAAGGTACAATGGATAAACAACCTTAGAAATTAATGATGTGACTGTTATAATATTTTAAAGACAAAAACAGCTTAACTTTGTTGTTTTTTCTTTCACTTGTTTACAAGCTAATTTACTTTCTCTAGTAGTACTGATTTATTTTGTGTATTGCGTATATATAATTAAATGACTTGTTTTCCTGTCAATCATGGCATCAAAGAATAGTCATAGAAACTCGAGAACTTTGATGTCGGAAAACGTTTTAGAAAATTTCGATCATTTCTACATTAAGAACAAAAAAGGAACATATTTCGTGCATGGAGAGAAATATAATAAGAAATAAAGTATATTTAATAACAAAATCAAAGCATGATTAAAGTCTATTCACAATACTAAGTCTCCTATATTCATGAAATCATTTTTATTTAGACGTTCACACATGACACTAATAAATCATACCATGAACTAGTGAACAAGAGCCATGTCAACATGGCCATCCCCCGCCGAATGTGTTTGCTCATTGGAAGAATGTATATGTAGTAGAGCGGAATAATTCCATTTTAAGAGGTCTTTTGGTAATGAAAACTGATGGCTATAATGATTACAGATTTGAAACCTATGTGAATACTGTTGGCTGAAAATAACAAAGGGCAATTACTGAAAAATAATGCAGGGTAGGTTATCATTCTTGTGTGCTGCATCCCTCCTCAGTAAAATCTATCCACCTATGAAGTTTCAAGTTGATACCTCAAATACTTTTTGAGAAAAAAATTGAATTGAAAAATTAAGTATGAAAAAGAACAAAGGGCAATAACTCAAAAATTATAAAAGGTAGAGTTATCATTCTTGTGCAGTGCACACCTCCTGAGTGAGATCTATGCACCTATGAAGTTTCATTTTGATATCTCAAAGGCTTTTTGAGTAATGCTCTGGACAAAAAATAATTTTGAAAAATAACAAAGGGCAATAACTCAAAAATAATGCAGGGTAGAGTTATCATTCTTAAGCACTGCACTCCTCCTCAATGAGATCCATCCACCTTTGAAGTTTCAAGTTGATACCTCAAATACTTTTTGAGATAAGCTCTGGACAAAATAACATAAAAAAAACAAAGGGCAATAACTCAAAAATTGTATAGGGAAGAGTTATCATTCTTGCACACAACATTCCTCCTCAATAAGATCTATCAGCCTATGACATTTCATGTTGATATCTCAAACACTTTTTGAGTTATGCTCCACTCAGGTGAAAAATTAGGTATGAAAAATAACAAAGGGCAATAACTCAAAAATTATGAAAGGTAGAGTAATCGTTCTTGTGCACTGCACACCTCCTGAGTGAGATCTATGCACCTATGAAGTTTCATGTTAATATCTCATAAGCTTTTGGAGTTATGCTCTGGACAAAAATCAATTTTGAAAAATAACAAAGGGCAATAACTCAATAATCTTGTAAGGTAGAGTTATCATTCTTGTGCACTGCACTCCTCCTCAATGAGGTCTATCCACCTATGAAGTTTCAAGTTGATACCTCAAATACTTTTAGAGATATGCTCCGGACAAAAATGTCGGACGGAAGGACGGACGGACGGAAGGACGGAAGGTCGGACGGACGGAGACTATTTCTATATCCTCCGCCGAAATTTTTCGGCGGGGGATAAAAAGGTAACCACCACGGGAGGGAACCAACAACAGCAAATAAATCTCGGTTTGTATGACCCTATTTAAGGATGACATTGATTATGAAATTAGTCATCAGTTTGTACCAATACCAAGTTCTAGCTGTCGTGAAGACATTGATATAAAATGATGATTACCATCATTTATTGGTTTGTTAATAACCAATGGTTGACTGTTTCCTTTTAAAATCACACTTACACCTTAAATAAGGGAAAAACGTTGTTTTATATCATTTATAAAGAAACGGTTAATATGAAATAGTTCTTTATTTACTTACTTGCAGATAGTACCCTCTGTAACAAGATTGAACTTTCTGTAACATAATGTATCAACTACTGCCACGAGTTTCTTCGGAGATTCACATATATAGTTGGAGATAATTGGTGTGCCTGGAAAAAAAATATGAAAAGTAAAATAGGCATTTCTATAAAACGAAAGTGGGACAGGAAATAATATAAAGTTAAAAAAATAGTGTGAGAGTACATGTATATACTATGTTGTTTGTGAAATGAAATAGAAATATTTAATAAAACTGAAAGGAGCTCTCCAATGAGGTCAAAAAGTCTTAAACATGAAATTTGAAATTCTTACAAAAATAAAGCCAAGCACTTAAAATAGAAATATTTGCAATTAAAACTAAATTGAATATTGATTTTGTTTGCGATTCTTAGTCCAGTTTCAGTGAAAAGCGTTGCAATTTTTTGGGTAATTTTGCGACATAAAAATGACTTTCCGGAAAAGCGTTCAGTGACTGATCTGAAATTTTGCACAAGCATTATGGGTCCCGACATATACAAGAATAAAGTACAAAATAAAGTACAGAATGAAAGAGCTTGTTTCGAAATCGAGCTTAAATAAATATGTTTTAACCATACGAAAATAGCATAAGTTGTCTCACACAATGTGCATGTAAAATTTAAGAAAGTCGGTGAATTTACAAAAACATATGAGCCGCGTCACGACAAAACCAACGTTGCGACCAGCATGGATCCAGACCAGCCTGCGCCTCAGGATCAATGCTGTTCGATATCAGTTTCTCTACTTGTAATAAGGTTTGTAATCGAACAGCATGGATCATGATCAGACTGCGCGGAAGCGCAGGCTGGTCTGGATCCATGCTGGTCGCAAACCCATTATGCTCGATTTGTCGTGACGCGGCTCATATGATGTGAGTCAGTCACAAAACACAAACGTGTCTGTAAATTTAAATATAATATATCAGACAGGATTTACAATGCTATAAACAATATGCAAAATTCTGTACAGTATCTCATTGACCGTATTTTTTACTTGTTTTTTTTTGTCTTCTCTATTTTCCAAAACAAGTCATATGTATTCATGTAAGGATGATTTACACAATACCACACATTAAAGCTATACAAATCTTTAACTTAAGAACAAAACTGCCATGGCAGTTTTTTAAATTATTAATATTTGTTGTTTGTTTGTTTGCTGTTGTTGTATTTTTTTGTGTGGTCTTTTTTTTTGGGGGGAGGGGGTCTGTAGTTGTATTATTTGATAATTTTGTGTGTGCTGTGTGTGTGTTTTTTGTTTGTTTGTTTTTTGTTTCTTTTTTCTTGCTGTTGTTGTTGTTTTTTCGATTTCGCTGTTGTTGTTGTTGTTGTTGTTATTGCGATTTCATATTTTCTTATTTAAACCCTTTTAACTTTCGTGATCAATTGAGAACAATATCAATGAAATATTAAACTATTTTTATACTCTCTATCTTCATTGGGTAAACAGGTTATTTCTGTTAAAGGGACTTCACAGGGAGTTGGATATGAAATAATTTTCCGGGACTTTAACACTGTTGTTTGGTGTAGGTCTGGATTAAAATCTTGTGTACAAATTTCAAATCATTTTCACTTTCCTATATCCCATAATAATATTTTTATTGTGTAAAATGTCCGAGCAATAAAAAGCGTTGCAACGTTTTTAACTCAAACTTGGCCGAAAGTCGTGCAAAAATTCTATTTTTCATTTAACTACGAGTATTCTTCATATCTTATGCAGATTTTTTCATTTAATAAGTGAAATTTATAATTTTTCTTTAATTTTTTGTTGATATCATATGCTCCGATGTACTACAAAAACACAGCTTTTCACTCTGATTGATTTCAAACGTCATAAATAGTAATTATAATATATAGATCTAAAAAAAACTTACCTATGCAAGTTGAAACGTTAATAAAATAACTAGGACGAAGATCGACCTTGGACAAGGTTTGAGCAATGTCAAAGGTCACCGGACGAAGGTCATTCTTCCTCGGTTCACATGTCTCGTACCGCATCAAGGACGGTATATGAGAGTAGCTGCACTCGAAAAATACCTCGAATAATCTGTAATATATAACAAATGAATAATACATGCAGTTGTCTGATAAATCAGGCAATGAATCTATTTTAGACATTTATTCAATGCATTAAGCGATTCGCAAACAAAATATGGAAGGACAATGATGCTGTTATCATGAATTAATTAATTGATTAAATAATTAATTAATTTTTATTTATTTATTTATTTATTTACTTATTTATTCATTCATTCATTCATTCTTTCATACATTTATTTATTATCAATTAATTAATTAAGTTTTATTCATTCATTCATTCATTCATTCATTCATTCATTTATTCATTTATTTATTCATTTATTTTTCATTTATTTTTTTCGTTTGATTTGTTAAAATTTATTTATAAAAAGGCAATTCGTCCAAGCTTATATTGTTTTCATCTTTTATTTATTTATCTATTTATTTATTTATGTATTTATTTATTTATTTTATCAATTTGATAATTAATGATGAACAAACAAATTGAATGCCAATAAAACTTGATGATTAAAACAATACAAAAAAGAACATCCAGATAGTTATGTTACTAAGACTTGATAATCATTTAAAGAAATAATTCAATACGCATGCATAAGATTCTTTTCAAGCATCAACTTCCTTAATATAGCTTTGTTTAGCTTTGTTTCCGTAGGTTCGAACTCCTTCTCAAGTAAGTTTCTTCTCTCTGGCTTCGTCAATCAACACTGGTGTCATAAGAAAAGGTTAAGACTTCTAAGAAGCAGTCATCGTGCTTTGCTTAGGTCCTTAAAAAGGGATTAACTTAAATTTTAAAAAAACAAATCCTAATTTTAAATGTGGACAAAAAAGTGAAAATGGAAGAAACTATAATACATACGGGCAAGCGAGGTCTTGCACCTTAAGTTGACTTCCTATCTGAATTACTCTAGAACACTTTGTATATATAGAACCCATATGTCTATATAATGTCAAACTACACTGAGATGTCTGGGATATCGTTTCAAACATATCTGAAAATATAACGGGGGTATCACATTTCAAATTAAACAAGGCTATTTTACAAATAAACAAAATTAAATAATACAAATTGTCAAAACATTATCGGTACTTTTTTCCAACATCTAAAAGGTATGGTGGCTGATTTGTGCCATGTCGTATTTTTGCTCCGCAGGGCGCCGGAAAAAAAAGTACGAGACTTGGCAACATTTTGTAGTACTTTTGCTCCGCTGGTCTCAAAACAAAAAACACGAGAAAGTCAAAATTTTGTTGTATTAACATGTTTTAGCCTTTGCGCCCAGCGTATGGCATAAAGTTCGAGAAAGGGAGAATATATGCTTCGGTCAGGGGTTAGTGGATAGTCTCCTCTCTCTTCAAGTAGGCGGAAAAATGCACCTTACCATTACACAGATCCTGTCTGGCAGTGTGAAGTATATCCGTGACATTGGATTCATAAGAATTAATGGTAGACTCAATCTCTTCGAGCGGACATGACATAGCACGTGACACACACCCGATCATACCCCACCGGACTCTATAATAAAGAATATTTCAGTTTTTACTCTGATTCAGACAATAACAATTTCCGTTTTCATAATGTACTAGAACAATGGTTTAGTCCATATGGTCGACATTTTGCTTCCACAGATTAAGGAAATGAACGGTGATCTTTGTTCCTATTTACATTAACCAAGTGGTAGAACTTCTTTCCATCCGTATTAAGTTTAAGGCTTTTATCCATAATAGTCAAGATGCTCCTATTTGCACTGTAACCTTAATGGTATCGTCATGATTTAAAACAAATGCTAACAATCGACCGGTAGCATACTGTTGTTAAAATGCCTCTCGACTCTAAGATGATAGGTTCGAACTCAACTGCGGTCATGTCCATATTTTTTCATAAAGCTGCATCACTGGATATCCAAAAAAAGCAATAAAATGAGCTGCAATGTATCATTTTAATCAAAATGAGAAGTTTAACAAAATCGCTGTCCTTTTTAACATATATAAACATGATTTCCCTTAAATGTTCCTAATCCTGTGACAAGCCTAACCGATGTTAGTAGATATTTTGTATACTGTTTATCTATGCTAATTCTATGATAATTTTACTTACCTGCACTTATTTTCGTCAGATTCCTGCGCCAGGGCCGCCGAATTATGCACCATATTACAGTCCCGTTTACCAAAATACGTAATGGCATCTGGACTTGAACACAGCTCGGATAGTTTAACAGGCAACCTAGTTATATTATTTATATCTAAAACACCGTTTTCTGTAAGGAAATAAAATAGTTTTAAATTATTCGTGCTCGTAAGTGATGGACATTTTTTAATGACGTCGCTGGAAGCATCCAGAGGGCGCTGACATAAGAAATATAGAAGGTAGGTCTTTAACGTGTTAGGTTCAAAACAATATAACGCTTGGCATTGTCTTCGTCGAATCGAAATCACCATATTTAAAGTTACAAAATTCAAAATACAGTCAAAGGGACGCTACTTCGTGAATTATGTTTTTCTTGCATATCAGACTTGTTTCCGTCTGGAAATCTTATCTGACATGTGTGTTAGAGTGCCAGATGAGTTTTGTGGTATGAAATGACGTCATTTCTACGCCTTTAATGAATGAATTGCGTGTTTTATGATGAAGTCATTTCGTCGTTATGAAACAATTTGTATATTCATATCTTACTATAAAATAAATTGTAACGGATGAAATGACATAATTTCCATGATAAAGTAATTTGTCATGGTGAAACAATTTAAAATATCTAATAAATATGAATTTGCGATTCGGATCGCAATATCCATACCTCGGGTAACCAGTCCATAAGCAAGTACTCGGGGTTTACAGAAATTTCGATCCGACACCAATCCAATAAAAATCATATCCTAACTGCCATTCTACTACCCTACGCTAGTTTCGGAGTTAAAACGATGATCTGATTTTAATGAAATTGGATCCGAAATGCAAAACTTGGCATCTATTATCATTTCTTAATTTTACAGCTATATAAAAACGGGCATTCATCTAACTGACGCAAGTTTTGTCAATTAACTTGTTTTTAAGACTTTTTAAGGCAATTCGCAAGAAAGCAAAATTCATTGCTGAAATATTTACAAATCAATAGCAACATATTTGACTTGTTGATCATACCTTTACAAGTGTCAGGAACGATTTTAATCCAAATAGGGAAGACGTCACGTGTATTATTCTCCATTATCTCACCTAGTGTCTGTACAGGCACGTGCAGAAGATTCCTCGTACTTAATACGTATACACAACGTAGCATCTCGAAATACAAACTGAAAATTACAACATAATGCTTTTAAAAGTGACTTTTCAAATAAACACATTTCAGCAAAATTTGGCAAATTGTTTATTCATTATGCCAGGCAGTTCAATTGTGGATTAAAAAAACTTTCTTAGTGAACACAACTGAACAGTCGCAATTATAACATATCCCCCGAATATAATTTAGAAAATTAAGGAGATATTTCTTTTTATTTTAAAATCGTTTATATTCTGCTGGTACAGAAAGCGATAAGCCTTTGTCGCCATTATTGCTAGTCTGCACTGCCATACAGTTTGACCCGGCTTTATACTGTGGGCAGACTTTCTTCAAAATATCCATCTTGATATCTATAAAACGGTTAAAGGTCAACGGGTCAGTTTAAAAAAGGAAAGCTGGACAAGTCAATTTAAAGGCACATTATGCCTAAGATACTGACACTTTTAATTCTTGACAAAGAGCAATACATTATTGTTAATTTTATAACGTTTAAATAGTGATATTAGAGCATGTTAGATTTGTATAACCTGAAGAACGTGGCGATAAATGTAATAAAGTTTTTTATTAAAGTAGCAAAATGTAAACAAAGTATTATTTTAACTTCCAGACAAAATACTAAATCGATATAACTGTACTTATTGCTTAAAAGCAATAGATATAAAAGATGGTTCATGTACTCGGCCAATGAGTCTCTTTTTGGAAACTGTAGCAGAGCATCGAACATCAGAAGTTTTTGAAAAATAAAAATAAAATTATAAATGCATTTCTGAGGCATAATGGGCCTTTAAGACATTCAGCAAATAAAAAGTTTAAGTAATCAGAAAACGCGCAAGGTGAGATGCCTAAATCTTTATTAATAGAAATGCCAACCTGCATTTTTGATCCTGGTTTAAACCATCTGTGCTGAAAATGATCTCATTTGTACAATTCTTAGCAGTTGCTATGACGTCATTGGTATCAACGTCACTTCCGCTGAAATCACGTACCGGCGGCTCCGTCGTCGTCGGTACAGGTGTAGTAGTAGTTGTAGTTGTTGTCGTCGTTGTTGTTGTTGTTGTAGAAGTGGTGCTGGAAGATGTTGTTGTAGATGAAGTTGTTGTTTTTGGTGGTGTTGATTGTGATTTTGTTGGGAGAGGTTGGGTTGTTGTGGTTTTTTTAGTTGTAGCCGCAGTCAATGGTGGCTGCGGCGGTGGCGGTACTTGTGTTAGTTGATAAATTTACTATATCTACTGAACTGCCACTTTGTGACTGTTCGTTTGATGTATTTCCTTTAACAAGAACTGAAATGAAGTTTAATTAAATGATTATAAGTACAAATAGTAAACGTAACATTTCAGCCCCCTATTTGTCAATTCTAACATCAGTTCTTTTATTTCCTTCCGTGTCTGTGTCACCAAACAAAATTAAAGAATAATATTCCCGGCCGTATGGTCTGCATTTTTCTTATCCATGTTAGATTTTAGTAGCGTATAACCACTTGATTGATTTGATATACAAGACTTATATTTTACAAGTAACTGTATCGTAGCTGACATAAAATGTTGTGGAAAACTTTGCAGTATTGTTTTAAACTTTTTTTGGTCAATATCATGTTGTTGAATCAGTAAAGCTTCTTTCCCTCTAAAACACTTTCTGTTTAACATGGATAAAGAAAAACAATTCATCGTGTACACTTAACATGCGGTGTGTGATTGAAAAAGTGTATTCTATCATTTTTATTTTCTATTTTGTTGTATTTTGTTGCTTGTTTCGATGTTTGTTAAAAAAAAGTAAAAACACTTACCACCAAAATAGACACCTAGGAAAATGCAGATGGCAACGATAATTATGACACATGTTATTAGGACGGATATGACGACACATCGCTTCCGGTCTTGACAGCAAGACTGATTCTTCCGGTTTATCTCAGACTCTGAAAATGTTACAAAATGCACATAAATTTTCATCAAATAAATGCAAGCGTGACATAAATGGGCTAAATCCTCTGATGGTTATTATGACAAGCCTTTTACCACCAATATAGAACCGTATGAGCCAATCTGCACCCCCATACGATCTGGCTGGCAATATACTGGTAGCTGCCCAGGTTAAGTATTATGGTCATATTGAAATACACTAGACTTAAATTGGATTATGCAAGAGTTAAGGAAGAACAATTGAGCCGTGTCACGACAAAACCAACATAATGGGTTTGCGACCAGCATGGATCCAGATCAGCCTGCGTATCTGCACGTGCTGATCAGGATCCATGCTGTTCGCTATCAGTTTCTCTACTTGTAATAGTGTTTGTAAGCGAACAGCAAGAATCCTGATCAGACTGAGCGAATGCGCAGGCTGGTCTGGATCCATGCTGGTCGCAAACCTACTATGTTGGTTTTGTTGTGACGCGTCATCACAATTCATCACACGAATTTTAGAATGTAATCTTTTGAATTAAATACACAGAATAATAAGAAAGATGCGTTTTATAAGATATTTCTCATCATCTAAATTTAGTTTTATTAGTTAAAGTTGAAAATCAGTACATTGTAGTTTTAGGTCTCTACATTTTAAAAGCTTTTATAAATAGTAAGTTATCGTTTTGAGAGGTTTCTCAACTGTTTGGGGAGGTGTCCCGTCGCCGAGTGTTGAAAGGTCATTCACTTCTAATTGCCGTTGGACTCAAGTCCGGTCAGTAGTTTGACATGACTAAATAAGCTATCTGACTAACTATCACCCTGTCGGTTGCTCTACCTCATAATTTCCAATGCCAGGAAATGCTGAAAAGTCCCCTTTTGTCCTGTACCTGTGTCGGTGTACTTTTTTTAAGTTGCATGCCTCCAGATGAGCCAAAATATTTCAAGAAAATTAAACTTGGGAAAACTGTACTAAGATTTTAAGAAAATAAACAGATTCAAGTGATTATTTATATCTTATGTGCAATTAATGACTGATTTTTGCAGTATTAATCACCATATTTCTATTGCGTTACTAAAGCAGTAGTGGCTATTTTGCATAATTATTTTGACCTATTAGTCGTAATTAACGTGGATTTTAAGTGCCGATTGCAATGTGTCAATTACTATTTTTGTTCACTTCACAATATTTTACTTTTAAATACATTTTAAAATTTTCATAAAAATTAGGATGAATCAGGAGGCATGCTGCTTTAAAGAGTAAATTTAGCCATTAACAATAATAGTTTTAGTTACTTTTTGAATATCAGTTAAGAATCGATGTTTTGTCATGATTTTTTTGCTCATGACTTTCTTTCTTTCATATATTATATATATATATATATATATATATATAATATTATATATATATATATATATATATATATATATATATATATATATATATATATATATATATATATATATATATATATATGTATTAAATGTACTTTAAAAAAAACGAATGTCTCTTACCAGAAATCAATCTTAGAGCCCTAGCCTTCTTCGACTTCCTCTTTTTGTTTCTAATGTTATGAAACTCTGTGGCCGGTTTGAAGTCCGTGAATATTTTGTCATTTTCACCGCCCTCGCCATCAGGCGAATAGCTTACTTGTACATCCTCGTAGTTAAAGGTAGGCCACTCTTTGTCCGCATCTTTTTGTCCGAACGACATGATTTCCGGTTAATGTCGTCTGCTGTTTCGATTTGTCACTAGATTTCGCGTTGTTATCATGACGATGTCTTTATTTAGAAAATTTGAAACTGCAGGAGTAATCCTGTAAATAGAATGAAGGATAGCATTTTATTTTAAAGAAAAATATCAAAAAGTTTATAAGATATAATTATAAATGTACCTGTAACAGGAAGTTTTCAAATAGGTTAATCTTATACTATAGCACCGTATCTCAAGTCATTTCATTGCGGTAGCTAAATATTGTCACGCAAAAAAACATGTCCCATGCCATAGGACACGAACGTACAAAATTTGTTTAACCCCAGAGTACTTTGGAGCAATACAGAAAATGGCTAACCGAATTTCAGTAAAAAATATCGAAGATCACTGCGTGTCTAGCACTTACATGTACTAGTATCTAAGTGAATAAATGAGACACTACCAGTGTTGCAAATGCGGAAAATATTTGTATATACGTGCATATCTAAACATTCAACAGGCATTTAGCGCAGTATTACTTATAATAATTCTTCCTATGTCTTCAGTCGATTGATTATCCGAAAGTTGAATTACGTAAGATTTTATTGCTTTAACATACAATTCATGGAAAAAGCATTGTGTGGTAATAAAAACTTAAATGTCCACTTTCAATAACATCTGGTTTCATTCAATATTTCCCGTAGATTGGACCTTTCTTGTTATTTCGTAGATATGTATATGAAAAATGAATAACTTCCGGTAGAATATCGGCTAGATTTACTAGACTAATTTTCTCTATCTTCAAAGCTCAATATTTCTTATCATTATTTTCAAATATAATAATAAAACTCGTTCGGTTCTATTATTCTACATGGTAAATGCATATAATACAACATTAATATTTAAAGTGAGAATGGCAGAATAAACTATAGTATTACATTGCGAGTAAAATCGTAAGAAATCGGGATATTTCTGTCAATTTCTACGATTTTAGACTCGACAAACGTCAATGTGTCCATATGTGACTCAAAGTAACAAAAATGTAGAGTCTTTCCTAAGGCTTTTTACTTTTGAATTGACCCTTTTCGTCGAATTTCGGAGATAATTGGTAATCCGCGAGGTGTAGCGAATATGTACAACACATTTGGGACACTTCGGCGATTTTCCATGAAAGTCAAGAAATATGTCGAGAGTAAAAACTTTGTGATTGTACTTTTTTATCAGAAACATTACGAGGAAAGCAAAAAAGATGGACAATTATACCAGATATAGATAAAAAGAAATACCACCTTAAGTGTTTCGATTAAGATGAAACTTGTCATTTGTATTTAAACACAATAAGATGTCCTATAGATACACCTTTTTATGATTGGTCATCCATGGCGATGATGTGTGGGTGAATCTTTTTATATCATATTCACGGGTCACAATAAAATATTAAATTGACTGTAACACCATCTTCAAATGTAGAAATGGTAGTATTATTTAGTTACAAACGACTGCGTCTGTATTGTGAAAATCTCTGTAATGTGATATTGTAGACAGTAATGTAGTCTCACAAGAAAAAACAGCACGTGCTCAGATTTATATTTAGATACATATTTAGTATCTATCTCTATTATCATTAGTCTATGTGAGCCGCGTCATGACAAAACCAACATAATGGGTGTGCGACCAGCATGGATCCAGACCAGCCTGCGCATCAGCGCAGTCTGATCAGGATCCATGATGTTCGCTATCAGTTTCTCTACTTGTTACAGAGATGCAAGCGAACAGCATGGATCCTGATAAGACTGCGCGGATGCGCAGGCTGGTCTGGATCCATACTGGTCGCACACCCATTTTTTGGTTTTGTCGTGACGCCGCTCATGTCTTCCAAATCATCACTATAAATCTTTAAACTCCTCTGATTACCCGCCATAATATAATCACCTTTTGACTGCCTCAATATACATGTACATTACCGGTATATGAAATTGAAAGGTTAATGTTAAAATATATAATTATAAATTTTGAAAGAAAGTATGTGCATCAAATTTCGAAAAAAAAAACATCAAGAAATGGTTGATATCTCAGACACCTGGAGGGGTTGAACTTAATTTTGATCCATCCAAGGCGAGTAAAAATCTTTAAAACCAAATAACTTCCGCTTCTTAAATGTAAGCCCATATACAAATCATACCAACCATTAAAATAAAACCTATTTTAAGCAAGCGTCTGAATATGTCAGTGCAATAAAACTAAAATAATAAGAACATAGTTACGTGCTTAATGTGAAAAATAAAGTCTTACAAATTAAAACAATAACGCTATAGTGCGTTCCTGGAAAAATCAGTTTAAGGAAAATGGTGGTGACTCAATGACGAACACTTAAAACATTAGACAACCGCTCCTTTTTAAGAGATTAAATCAATTGCAAAATATTCAAAAGTCATTGCAAAGTCCAATATACATGTATACAAAAAACTTTCCAAATTATAAAAGGTAGATTTGTGATGTAATTCTGCTTTGTTAAATACAGAAATCGAGATAAAACGTGTTGAATTATAAAACACTGATAACAGGTGTTGCCATGACATATAAATGCATGTTTGATTTACGATCATAAAAAAGATCAATTTCAAAAGATAGGGTGTTTCAAAAGGAGGTCAACTTGTACAATGTATACCTCTCAACGACTTCAAGCATAATATACTCTTAAGGTTCCGTCTCACTTTGCCCCCCCCCCCTTCGCCCCACCCTAATATAAAAAAATACCAAATACACTCATACCCCACCCTAATATAAAAAATACAAATACACTCATACACACAAATATTGATGATAAAGATAACGAAAAGTACAAATAAAACTTTAATGGGCCAGTAAGTTCACGGTTAAATAATGACAGATCAAAGTTTCTTTGATTTTCTGGCCCTAGGTTAACCATCAAGGGCAGTTTTACGATTATGCTCATATAATAAAACAGCAGTCATATTTACCATCTCTTCAACTTGCGTATTATACCTTATTTAGCGACTACCTGTCACAAACTACTCTTGAATTTATTGCAGTTAGTTGAAATACAGTCAATACTGTATCAGTGTACATTGACTTGAACCCGGATACAGAAACCCGGTAACTACATGTTACATTATTCGTTTTAACAACTATTCTGAAAGATAAATAGCTTTGAGGGTGCCAAGCAAAGTCTTTAAAATAAGATGGTCAGTTTTTATTACACTAAGTTTAAATACTGACCTTGACCGACAAGTTTGACTGTATATGTATGGTACTTTATGACAACATGATGCCCTTGATGAGTTGAGGTTACAAGGTCAACGTTACTTTTTAAACGTTTTGTGTATATACAGAAATTGACACTAACTTTAAGTATTTAAATACTTTACATTGTATTTGCTATTTCAAAACAGTTTATTGACCGAAACCATTTATGTTTCATTAACCCGGAAATGAAAATCAGTTATACCACTGCTATGTTGATTATTTTAAACCTTTTATATATTATCTTAACTAATGTATCAAGATACATTCTTGTACAATGATCTTTATTGACACTTATGGTACTTAGCACTTAAGCATTTAAAATATCAATAGATTAAGCCAAATATTTAACATGTTAATATGTTACTTTAACCTGAACATGTTGAATTTCCTTCGTTAGCAGACGAACTTTAGACAAGTAAAGTTGACATAAAACCCACAAAAAACATTACCTTTATTATGTACCTTTATATGTCCGTTTTAACGTCCATTAGCTTAAAGAAATGTTTCAACTATATACTACGATTTGATGTATACACACATTATATCAATTTGACATAAAAACATATCCCAGGTGTGTAGAACAGGTAAAAATATTTCAAAAGTTATCACACATCTATAAATAGTAATTTCGTTTTGTTGACATTTAAGTCCTCAATGTCACTCCAACTTGAGATTAGAAATTTATACACTCAATCTTTTTATTAATATTTGTTTAATGCATTACGCCGGCGGTACAATCATTTTAACAGTTACTCCCGTTTAAAATCAGCGGTCATTTTAACTCTAAAGGATTAAATATATGCAGAGCGGCTCATCTAATACTCCTATATCATCAAATGTTATGCCGTACAAACTAACCGTTTAAAGATGTTGCACAAAAACGAAATTAAACAGAATATGTCATTGTCAGCACTGATGCAATAAAATCTGCCTATAGTGCAATCAGTTGTTCTCTTTTATGTTTTGTTTTTAGTACTAGTAATATACGATAGTTTTCATTTATTTATTTATTTATTTATTTATTTATTTATTTATTTATTTATTTATTTATTTATTTATTTATTTATTTATTTATAAAACATTCATTGATTTAAAAATCATTTATTTATTTATTTATAAATCATTTATTTATTTATTCTTTTATTCATTTATAAATCATTTTTTTATTTATTTATTTTATTTTTTTTATATTTTATTCATTATGATGTAGTGGGGATGATGATTGGTATTGTTGATAATGATGATATTATGATGGTGCTGGTGGTGATGGTAGTCCTACTATAACTGCTGCTGCAGCTGGTAATAATGATGATGGCATTGGTGATGATAATTATGGTGGTGGTGGTGGTGATTATGATGGTGATGATGATGAATGCGGTTATGGTAGTGCTACTATAACTGCTGCTGTTGATTATGATGTTGATGATGATGATGTTGGTAGTGGTGTTGTGGTGATGATAATAATAATTCATTCTAAAGCTTAAAATGGTGATGATTAGTATCATCATCAACATCATCATGGTGGTGGTGCTGCTGCTGCAGATGCTGATGTTGATGATATGATGCTGTTGCTGCTGATGATGTTGTTGTTGTTGTTGATGATGATGGTGATGATGATGATGATGATGATGATGATGATGATGATGAAAAAGAAGACAAAGTAGACGAAGAAGACGAAGAAGACAAAGAAGACGAAGAAGAAAAAGAAGAAGATAATGATGATGATGATGATAATGATGATGTTGATGATGATGATGATGATGATGATGATGATGATGATGATGATGATGATGATGATGATGATGATGATGATGATGATGATGATGATGATGATGAAGATGATGGTGATGATGATGATGATAATGATGACGTTGATGATTATGATATTAAGTATCTCCCTATCTTTACCGATGTTAGTCATACTAAGTCAATCGTGCTAATGTAAGTACTTTTATTTATTTATTCAATTTAAATTTTTGAATTTTCTTTTTTTTTCTTTTTTTTGCTGTTTTTAAGATATAGTATTTGTAATGTTATATAATGTTTTGATCTTTATCTAGAATGTAAAATTAATTAGATAAGAAGCCGCAGGCCATTTGTTAGGAAAAAGTAAAATCATGATATACTCATGAAATGCGTCTTCTTATTTTATCAAATTGTCATTATTTTCAAAGTGTAAGTGTAAATTGTGTATGTTTTTTTTTCAATGAGGATTTCTTAAGTTCTTGGTGGTTCGTCCGTCCGTTCTGATGCCGTCCTACTGTACTCAGCACCATTATTTATATGGGCAATAGATTTTCGACACAAGTCTTTTTATGGCTTTAAATTACTTTAAAGGTAAGTTTGGATGTCAAATGTACACGTATTAGTTAAAGTAATGCTTCACATTTCTTATAAAAATTCATGCGATCTATCTACATCATAATGAAATGTTAATGGGGTTGGACAAAGGGGGATCTTTCGTTTAAACCCAACTGTGACTATAATTAATAAATACAAATACTTCTCTGAGAAGCGTTATCCTAAATAAATTTTAGTAATTTCTAGTTTTTGCCACATTCAAGATTCGAAAGTAAGTTTTTTTATTTTACTAAATAGGGTTACCTTTTGCTTAATTACTTGCATTTTGTCTTCTAATTCCACGTCCCTTGCTTATGATTTTTTGTTCCATATATTCACAAATGAATAGCGTTTTCAAGATCCTCCTCGTATTCAATCATGGATAAAAACAACTGACGTTACTCGTATCAAAATGTGGAAAAACTTATCATTAATTGCAACTTTTATATTTCAGATTTTTGTAGTTAATAAACGGGAGAATGAGTTTTTTATTAAGAAGAAACATTTCGATAATAATTGTGATCGTTATGTTCCTTTTACTTGTTTTAAAACACATAAACATTGATACCAACCAGCGAAAAATTCGCAGAAAGAAGAATAACTCTGCATATCATGTGAAACAAACAGATATTCGAGTAGCCTCCCCTAGAAAGCGCGGTGAAATGAAAACAATACAATGGTTTGACACGTATCATGAGGGACACGGGTTGCGCATGAAAGCACACAATGTGAAAATGAGAAAATGTGAATATAGAAATTGTAAACTGTTAGACCATGAAATCGTCCCTGTACGGGATAACGTTGTGTACGGGCCTCTAGACGCAGATGCTATCATCTTCCAAGGATGCCATCTTGGTCAAATAATGCCACCGGTTCGACGGGATAACGATCAAGTTTTTGTGTTTGCAGAAAGAGAAACGTGGTGGTACATGGGAGCCTTTGAAAGAATGATGGACCCGGCTTTAAATAAAACTGAAAAACGAAAGAAAGATAAATCGCTTGCAATGCGCATGCCTGATGTATGGAAAAACCCTGAAAAATACATCAATATATTTCGGTTCCGAAGTGTTTTTAACTGGACCATGACTTACCGGCGGGATTCGGACATATTCATGCCATATGGAGAAATTCTAACAAACCAGGATGCGGTAAATCAAGGTTTAACAACCCGCGATGAAATACAGCTAAGGCTTGGGAAGGATTATGACCGCATTTATTACACGAAATCCAAAGATGTAGTCTGGCTTGTGAGCGATTGCGAAACGAAATCCAAGCGTGAATATTACGTGCAGAAATTAAAAAAGCACATCAATGTTGATATTTATGGTGATTGCGGAACACTGTCGTGCCCGAAAGGAAATTATAACGAAGACGACAAACATAGTTGTATGTATAAGATAATAAGCGAATATAGGTATGTTTTGTCATTCGAAAATACGTTCCATACAGATTACGTCACGGAAAAGCTTTTTGATTGGTTCCCGAAAGATATCATTCAAGTCGTCTACGGAATGGCCAATTATGACGTCATTACCCCGCCTCAAACCGTCATTAACGCTGCGGAATTTCATTCACCGGAAGAGTTGGCACATTTTCTGAAAACTCTAGGTGGTAATAAGAATAAGTATATAAAATATTTGAAGAATAAGTCCAAGTTTTATTCTGCTAATTTGGAGCAAATGCAGCAGAAAGCATATTGTAACTTATGTGAAAAATTAAACCATATAGACGCCAACAGACGCTCGTATTCAAATATAGGACTTTGGTGGCAGCTAAACGACACGTCAGCATTTCAAAATTTATATTTACAAGCGTTTGGAGTTCGTGAAAGCAAAAGGTCAAGACTTTTCAGATTTGCTTTCTATCTCATAGGATTGACATGTATTTTCATGTTTCTATCGCTGCTTTGTACATATCTGAAAGATGGGAGACAAAATAACTTGCACACAGCAGTGATGAGCCACGGCGTGTAGCAATTTAACTAGATTTTAATACAGTTAAAAAACAAAAGGGAGACAATTACGTTTGTCATATTTTTGCATCGCTCTTAGTTACTTCCCTTTTAGCATTATGATAATTTGCCTATGTACTCAAAAAAAATAGAAACACCTGCTATATGATTCTTAATACAATGGATCAAAGTAATTCTTCTCTTTATTTGAGCCGCGTCATGACAAAACCAACATAATGGATTTGCGAGCAGCATGGATCCAGACCAGCCTGCGCATCCGCGCAGTCTGATCAGGATCCATGCTGTTCGCTAACAAACCCTATAACAAGTAGAGAACCTGATAACGAACAGCATGGATCCTGATCAGACTGCTCGGATGTTGGTTTTGTCATGGCGCGGCTCATTTGTTTTATTCCACACAAAATATAAAATAATCATTTAGAAAATGAAAAACTGTAGTAAGCTGTTCTATTTATTATTCACACTATCCAATGTAAATGAACGGTTTTATTGTGCTTTCCTGTCTTTTTAACAGTCCCGATTTTGGTTTCTTTGTCCTAGTGCGTCCGTGAGATTTTGGTAAAATATTGTTAAATATATCTCGAATATATATTTTTATAATGAATTTATCAACAAGTTTCTGCACTTGAGCTGTGCACGTTTGAATGAAACTTAAATAGAATTTTAGAAAAAAAGTCATAAAATTTGTTTTAAGTGGCATTTATATCCTTTTGTTAAATTAGTAAGCTCTGAAAAAAGAGAATATAAACGTCATGCTTTGTCTCTAATTACTTGTTAATCTCATTTGAATGCAACAAAATGCCTCCATTTTTAAAATCATTATGTACGTCAACAAACGATTATTTCAGAAATAAACATACTTGATAGAACTTAAGCACTATCCATGATTAAAATTTCTTGCGTGGAATTTAAAACTGCTCAGTCTTATATCAATATGCTGAATCAAATATCTAGACTGACTTGACTCTCAAATATCTAGACTGTCCTGACTTTCAAATATCTAGACTGTCCTGACTCTCAAATATCTAGAATGTCATGACTCTCAAATATCTAGACTAACCTGCCTCTCAAATATCCAAACTGTCCTGACTCTCAAATATCTAGACTAACCTGCCTCTCAAATATCCAAACTGACTTGACTCTCAAATATCTAGGCTGACCTGACTCTCAAATATCTAGACTGTCCTGACTCTCAAATATCTAGACTAACCTGCCTCTCAAATATCCAAACTTTCCTGACTCTCAAATATCTACACAAACCTGCCTCTCAAATATCTAGACTAACCTGACTCTCAAATATCTAGACTAACCTGCTTCTCAAATATCTAGACTAACCTGACTCACAAATATCTAAACTAACCTGCCTCTCAAATATCTAGGCTGACCTGCCTCTCAAATATCTAGACTGTCATGACTCTCAAATATCTAGACTAACCTGCCTCTAAAATATCTAGACTAACCTGCCTCTCAAATATCTAGACTGTCCTGACTCTCAAATATCTAGACTAATCTGCCTCTCTATTATCTAGACTGACCTGCCTCTCAAATATCTAGACTGTCCTGAATCTCAAATATCTAGACTAACCTGCCTCTCAAATATCCAAACTGACTTGACTCTCAAATATCTAGGCTGACCTGACTCTCAAATATCTAGACTAACCTGCCTCTCAAATATCTAGGCTGACCTGACTGTCAAATATTTAGACTAACCTGCCTCTCAAATATCTAGACTAACCTGCCTCTCAAATATCTAGACTGTCCTGACTGTCAAATATCTAGACTGACCTGACTCTCTAATATCTAGACTGTCCTGAATCTCAAATATCTAGACTGACTTGACTGTCAAATATCTAGACTTACCTGCCTCTCTAATATCTAGACTGTCCAGACTCTCAAATATCTAGACTGACCTGACTCTAAAATATCAAGGCTGGCCTGATTCTCAAATATCTAGGCTGGCCTGACTCTCAAATATCTAGACTGGCCTGACCCTCAAATATCTAGACTGACCTGACTCTAAAATATCAAGGCTGGCCTGATTCTCAAATATCTAGACTTACCTGCCTCTCTAATATCTAGACTGTCCAGACTCTCAAATATCTAGACTGACCTGACTCTAAAATATCAAGGCTGGCCTGATTCTCAAATATCCAGGCTACCTGACTTTCAAATATCTAGACTGGTCTGACTCTCAAATATTTAGACTGGCCTAACACAAATATCTTAACTGGCCTGACTTAAATTTCTAGACTTGCCTGCCTCTCAAATATCTAGACTGGCCTGATTATCAAATATCTAGGCAACCTGACTTTCAAATATCTAGACTGGCCTGACTCTCAAATATCTAGACTGGCCTGACACAAATATCTTAACTGGTCTGATTCAAATTTCTAGACTGGCCTGCCTCTCAAATATCTAGACTGGCCTGATTGTCTCATTTCCAGACATGCCTGAAACAAATATCTAGACAAGACTGACTCAAAATCTGTCTTAAATATCTTGACTGGCTTGACTCAACAACTTGTTTGACCTGATTATACAATATCTAGGCCGTCCTGATTATTCAATATCTAGGATGACTTAATTGTCAAAAATCTAGGCAGGCCTTACTCTCTACTGTTGAAATAGGCCAGTTACTGTTGTCTTTATGTTCTAAATGTCATTGTATAATTCTCGTTTATAGAATCACTTTTATTATCTTATTTTTGGCAGTGTAACTTATTTCTCTTGTTTGTCATGCTGGTATATTAATTAAAATTACATTAAAATTCAGTAAATATACATAAAATGCCCTTGATTTTAAAACTTATTATGTATGATTCACAACAATAATGTTGGTAAAAACCATCAAATTGAAGGTTTGTTTCATTCCTGATGCGTTAACCATCAGTTAATGAAAAAGTAAACTTTCAAAAATAAAGAGTTTAAAATGTGCACATGCGAGGGTAGATTAGATGAATATATTTTTCTCTATTTGTAAACAGACATATAACAACTTCATATATCTATAGTACCGCCTCCGTGGTCGAGGGGTATGAGTCGATGACTTCTAATCCAGTTATACCTCTCTGGCATGGATTAGATCCGCGGGAGATGCTTTGGTAGTTTTTGCGCGGAGAAAGGTAGTCTAGTACTGGGAACGATGGTTAGGAAACTGCCCGCCTATATGACTGAAATACTGTTGGAAAAGGCGTAAAATGAAACTAACAAACAAGTCATATCTCTATAACACAAACATTGTTGATTAATTGTTTGACAGTATTTTCCAAAACTGGTAATAGTTTACGTTAAAAAAATAAACAAAAATGTCAGTCACAACTTTTAGTTTTTTCCGTCAAACTTCTTACACCATTATACATTAAGCAAAATCATTATGTACATTTATACAAAAATTTGAGTTGGGCCTAAAATGATTTTGGCCCTTCTGTAAATATTTTCTTGTTGAATAAATAATAAATTAATATGTCACTTTTTCTAAACAACCTGGTCTCGTTATCCTCACTAATCCGAAACCGTCAGGGGTTAGCCTTTGTTTTTGGGGTGTGGGGGGGGGGGACTGTACTCTTAATGCCTAATACTGGTTGGTTTTCAGGAAAGGATCCGAGAGGGTTTCAATAAGCTTATAGCTACCAAAATAAGTGAGTATAAACTAATCCTCATATAAACATGATTAAATTAAATGACAAAAAACCCTCGTACATGAACTCTGTCTATATATAGTTAAGTAATTCTATAGAAATAGTTTTGAAAAGTACACGATTTCAATATATCATATATGTCAAATTTAGAAAAAACGGTATTTATAAATAAATCTTTAGTTGAACATCTGAACTTTATAAACACATCTTTTTCAGTTATAGTTTTGTCACAAATTGATATTTCTTTTTAAATAAATTTTACTATTCATTACATTCCTTTTTTTTTATTTCGTCGTATTCACGAAAAGGCTTTCAGAATGTGATGCATGTGATAATATAAAAAATAAGTTCTCAAAATTTCTCAAAGATCTATTTTCTTTAAAGATTTTTTTTCTTCATTTTTTCCATTTAATGGGAAAAAACTCAATGGAGTAGTAAATCATTTAAAATTTAGATAAGTAATGTTATTTTAGCTAAATTTAATTTCAAATTTCATATCTAAAAATGGATATTGGATATTGTTACCCAGAATATAACCTTGTCTGAGTGCATTTCACAATTTAAGAATTTTAACAGAAAAAATACGCACCAATCCGTATGAAATGATCATGGATAAGCAGTGAGGTGTTCCGAGTGCATGATTTTTTTTTACTTGTATTATTTTTTCTTTTAATTTTTTCTTTTCTTTCTTTTTAATGGATTCAATTTAGATTTTGTTTTCATTTAGGCTATCTTTACATAAAATTTATTTGATGCTACTCAGCGCCCTAGCCACTCTTAGGCAAACCGAGGCAGTTGTCATGGTTAAAATTTGAGAACTTAATAAATATATAAGGTAGAATAATTGGTCTTGATAAAGAAAACAGAAAAGAAAAGAAATGCCTCAAATATAAGTTAAAGAAGAATGGACTCGATCATCTATGAAGGATGCTAGATTAAATGGTCGAGCTTTGATACATATTCATAAACAAATGTCACTTGACTATAATAAGATTTTAAAGTAATGGGATTCTCCTGGAAACAGAAGAATTACCATGGAATTTTCATGAAACTTCGAACCTGGGCTAATAGATAAATTTAATAAAATGTGCTGTATTTCAAATCTTATAAAGAACATAAACTTTTCTTGTTTGTTTTCCGAAATATAAATAAAATTTTCTTTAATGTTAGACAAATGATTAGATTCAGAAAGACAAAAAGCTTGTCCCAGAGTGCTCCAAAATTCATCAGAGACATTCTAGGTAAAAATAAAGAAAAAAATACGGGGGTGGGAGGTATCCCCCCTGACCCCGCTAATTGCCTCGGTCAAAAAACAGGTTTGGCTACGCCATTGCTACTCTTTGTCGTTCATGCGGGACAAAAG